AGATGATAAATTCGAAAGAAAAAATTGGAAATGAAGAAATTAATAGAAAATTTGTAAGTCTGTAAATGTATTGGATTGTTGCGTAGGGATAAAAAAAGTAGTTAGGGTGTGATACATAAACAAAAAAGAGAAGAAGAAAAGCAAAAGTTCATAAAGATGTGTAACGTGCTTTCATTATCATGAACGTGACAACGCTTCAATGGAAACTGTTTGTTTCATTTGTAAGATCTGAAGCAAAGAGCGTGATAAAAAATTATTTTTATTTAATAAAAACATATTTAAGAGAACGCGTATTAATAAAAACATATTTTTATTTAATAATGGTCCCATATCATTTAATTGTAAAATATATATATTAGATGATCTATTATCTAGTTAAAAATTAAGGACTTTCTTATTTCTAAGTGCATAGAATTTATCGATTCTTTTATTCAATATCACTAAAAATAGAATTTTTTTTTTTAATATACATAGGCAAGAAGAAAATGAAAACCTAGACCATAATTTGACAATAAACCCACTAATTATTTATTAATCTAACACATTTGGGCATCATTACAAGTATATCATGAGAACATGTATTCTTTATGCTGAAAGAAAAAAACAGGTAAGAGATTGGAGTTATTTTCATAACATACAATAATCATGATAGAGAGACCTAGGATGTAATCACCCTGCCACCTGAATTTGTGAATCCCATAACCCATGTATGTCTGTCTAGCGAAGATGAAGAAGATATTGACATGGGTGTCGTACGTAGTCTGTTTGGGGATTGAAGAAACATGACGCATCGACCGTTTTCTCGCCAGCGCCATTAACTTATCTGATTCTCTTTCTTTCGTTCTTAACTCTCAATTATATGAAGACAGAAGGAAAAGAGACGAAGAAACAAAACCGTTTCAACTGGGTGTTTGGTCATTTTTATTTTCTATTTTCAAATGGCCATCGTTCGAGTCAAATGGTTGAACCATTGACCCAGAAAGTGGCCAAAGTGGTCCCTGTTCGGGATTGATTTTTAAAACCTTAATAATAATAATAATAATAATAATAATGATGATGATGATGATATCTTTGGAGCATTAATAATTTATTGCTAGCCATATTTATTACAATAATAATTAAGAATTAGTGTCATATATTGTTATTAATATTTCATTTTTTTATTGTAATTTACTGTTGTTTTTTGAGTTTTAATGATTAATTATTGAAAATAACAAAAAATTAGTGACGACCCATGGGCATGGATTGGGGTTCCCGTAGGGTGGGGAGTGCTCTCCCCATCCCTGCTAACAGGGATGAAAATTTCCCCATCCCTGTCCCCATAGGGGAAAATCATCCCAACCCCATTTAGGGCGAATTCTCATGGGGATCGGGGAAATGGAAAAAATTGTCATTCCTAAATTGATATACATATCTACATATTATCAATATATATTCTAATTGGAAATTTAGACACAAAGCTCTATACCTCCAAACCAAAGCCCAACACAAGATGTTAGATTAAGCTCGAGGGTTGAGGTGGATCGGGTTTAGGCTGGGCCCATCGAAACTGCACCCCTAATCTTTTTGCCACAACTTTTTTAACAAAGACTGTTCATTGCACATATCCCCATTTCCCACTAGTTTTATTTATTTACTTTTGGCAATGGGTGCATATAGGATCAAATCATTAGCACATCAAATTAAGATATATCATCATCCATACATTATCCCAATTATATGGAGTTGGTTAGATGAATCATATTTCACCAATCAGTTGTATTCAAAGCTATATCCAATGTTAAATTATTAATGCCTAAATCATTTCATACTACTTTTATCCATGCTCTTTTTGGTTGACCTGAGCTCTTCTAGCCCCTTAAATGTGTAACAAACAAATCACTTATTCTAATTGATGTAGTTGGTGGCCTTTTATGCATGTGCCAAAACCATCTTAGTTTATTCTCTCACTTTATCATTTATTGGAACTATTCCTAGGTTTGTACGGATAATTTTATTCCTAATCCTATATCTTAAAACAAAATTAAGTCAGTTATAGCTAAACAGATATTTGATTCTAACATAAACTTCGATTCAATTTTGAATTGGATTATCTCCCATCTCTATGCACCCTGTGTTCCTACTTCCTACTGATAAGAAAGTTTATTTGGGCCTATGACTTTAACATTCATATATATATGCGTTCGACTATGATATGGAAAAGATATGATATGTATATATGTATATTCATATATACTTAAAAATTATATTATATCTATTATTGAAGTTGGTCTTAATGTTGTATTTTCACTAAATTCCCATATGCTCACATTTTATTCAAGTAATTTTTAATTCATTTTATTCATAAATTATAATAGCAAAGCCATTTCAGCTCATTTTATTAATAATATAATATTTTGGTAATTTTTAGTCTAATTTATTTATATTATTCAATATCCAATTATAATTGAGTTCCATTTAAATCTGCTAGATATCCGATAGATATGATCCGATTTGGATTTGAACGTAAACAAAGTAAAATTGGATATACCTATATCTGATTTGATTGGATCCATTTGATCCCTACCTCAAGGTTAAAAAATGAATAATATATAATAATATCAATGAAACAGAGAGTGTAATAACAAAGAAATTTATAATGTGGTTATATTTTGTTCACACGAGCAATAAAGAAAAACTAAGGGTCCGTTTGGTTTGCCATTCAAATTAGAATTCGAATGGTCCATTCCCATTGTTTGGTTCAGATAAGAATAATAATGAAAATGGGAATCAGCATGAGTGGGATTTCATTCCCAAGAAAGAGGTAGGGAATGTCCATTCCCTCAAATTGAGAAATATCACTTCAACAAGAATGAAAGTGAAATTCCGATTCCTCCCAATCAAACAGTTAGAATCAGATTAGCCTATTCTGGTTCTAATTCTAGACCCCTTTATTCTCACGAATCAAGCGGGGCCTAAAACATATAACCAAGTAGTTGATAGGACTACAAAAAAAGAAGGCAATATACTTGTTTTGGTGGATAAGGTTTTGGTATTTGAGGTCCTGCTTCGTTTATCACAAATAGTATAATTTGATAGTGTGGGGTACCCCGTACCCAAACCCATTTGAGACAGTAAAAAATTTAGCCTAGAAATCTATGTATTCCATTGTGCAAAAATATCCTGGGATTCTCAACCTTCCCTAACCTACCTTCTATTGCATGAGAGGTATCAAATTAGGGGGCAAAAATGGATTAGCATTTGTAATTATCAAAACAACTCAGGCTGGGGTTTTGGGCCAGTCCGATTCAAGTTTCTGCACTCCAGCCCAGTCCTGAACAGGTCTATTAATCTATTAGTGAGGGAAGATGATTGATGAACATGTCTATTAATTTATTAGTGAGGGAAGATGATTATTGGCTCTAATCATTTGTTTTTTATCCTAGTAATGTTGATCATCATAAACATTGTAATTATCATCCATGTATGGCGAAGTTTTATTTGGTTGATTATAGTTTGGAACCCACCAATAGGGGTGCAAAATGGATTGGGCTACAATCATACAAAGTCCGATCCTTTTTTTTTTTTTTCGGATTTGGATATCCTCAATTTGGATTTTTATATTATTTATTTATTTTTAACTTGTATATATATTGAAATATCCGATATCCTTATCATATTCAAATTTGAATCAATATTTGTGAAATCCGATTAGATCTATACTTTATCGAATCAGATTTAGATATATCCTGATCCAAATCTAACCTGATCTGTTTGCATCCCTACCCACTAACTTTTGTTGTTTGGATATTTCCCAAATGGGTCGGATACTCGGATGTTAGTATCGGACGGACTTTAGTTTTGTGGGTTCAATCCCTCTAATCCAACTTCTAGATAATTCGGCGTTATGGATTCGTCTATAGGTTTTAACACGTTCTTATAGGCTCAGTTTGGAAGGAGTACAAATACAAATGTATACCATGCAAATACATGCAAGATAATACAAAATACATGATTTTGCATTCTACATATTTGTATTTGTACTCATTCCAAACTTTGCCATAATTTCAAAATCCAAACATAACATGTGGCATACGTCAATGGGTTTCACAGGCTCCTATAGTCTGACTCTCTTCTATAAAAATCGAATAGAAGTGGGTAAATTGTTAAAACATCCCATGGAATTTTTTGTAATTGCTTAAACTTCTCTTGAAGTTTGGTAATTGAAATCAACTCTTCTTAACTTGGTGACATAGTTGTAACTTGTAAGTAAGCTTCTTTTGATAGAATCTTCGTCTTCTAAAAAGAGGCAATGGAAATGTTCAAAACACTCATACAATTACTTATTTATTTTCTACATTTTCTTTCTCTTCATTTGAATCACTATCCTAAACTCTTCTAACCTCTTTTCTAAAATTGATGCAGGATATTTTAGACATTTTATACCTGTTTTTAAAAGATCCTATCAGACGGGATCTACTTACAACTGTACGAGAGAATTAGAGGGAAGTAATTGCAATTACTAAACTCGAGGTAGGTTCCAGCAATGGTGAAAAAGTTGGTGGGAGGTTTGAGCAATTTACCCAATAGAAGTTGTTGACCAATATGATCCCAATCCTCTCTCTCCTTCCCGATATAATAAATATCTTGTCTCTGTGTGGATGGATATTCGGATATTCCGCTATTCCGGATTCAGAATTTCTGAATGTATACAATATGAGCCAATCAAGGGTACAGCTGCCAATTTGCCAAATAAAACGTTGACTCGGTCATAAAAAACCGGGAACAAGCGTTTCTGTGAAAAGAGATTATTTTATACGACGAAGATCCACCATCTTCCAATATAATCTCATTGAATCCGCCAGTTTGGCGGAAAAGTAGTCTAACGGTCGGTTGACCAGGTATTTTTGGCGGTTAACGTCCACTGAGAGCTGACGCTTTGACAATGAACTATAAATGCTCTAACCTACGAATATACTCAACAACAATAATTATTATAATAATTAATTTAACCGAACTTTCTTTGGAATTTCGCGATAGTGTGTGCACAGAGAGAGGAGGACAGCCGCGGTAAGGGAGAACGTGTCTGGTTCCCTAGAGCTTGCACCTGTTCTCCTTAACCCACTCATCCTGGTTCACTTTGGCTTTCGTCAATCTATTCTCTTTCACCCCCCTTTTTTTTCTTCCATCGAAATCGTTGATTATTCCTCTCGTATTTCAAATGGGTATCGGTGAAAATCGTCTTGGATCCATGGGAACAAGTTTTTCATTGAAGGGTTTCCGATCATTCCGGCGGATTTGATCATTCTTTGCTTCTGTTGATGTGTTTGGTTATCTTCGAAGAACAGGTTCGGTATGCCGGGATATCAAACTTTCTTCTGAGCACTTTCATGCTATTGCATCTGCCTTTTCTACAAAAAGCTTTCTCCTTCTGTCTACCGAGAGACCGATGGGATAAAGAGTTCGCTAAGTTGCAGGCTGGTTAAGTCAACTGGGTTTCTTCCAATACATACGTTTATCGGCGTATAAGTTGATAGGGTTGCGTTCCTGTGCGTATTCCTCTGCCATTTGAGATGGGTTCCTCTCAAGGGTCCGCTTTGTCGACCAATGTAGCGGAGTTTGTTGAAAAGCCGTCTGCCCGTGGGGAGGTTTTGTTTGTTGATTGCTTGCCTACTTATGTCAAGGAGTTAATTGCCGGAGGCGCTGCCGGAGCATTTGCCAAGACCGCAATTGCGCCCTTGGAGCGGGTCAAGATACTCATGCAGGTGAACGTGATTTCGATATACTTCTTCCCATTTTCCCAGTTTGTTTTGAAGACTTTTCGTTTATGTCGATCACTTTTCAATGAATAATTAGACTGATTTGTATTATTCCGAGAACCTAAATGTGATTATTACTACTTTTTTTTCAGCTTGGCATTCTTATCTTGTATATAACCATCCTTTTTCTTCTTACAAGTCAGCCTTGTTGAAAAACATGCTGCAAGAAGTTTGAATTGTTCTGTAGAATACGATGATGTTAACAAGGACTTCTTTTAGAAACCTCAACTCTCAAATATTCAATCCGTAGGCTTAGTTTGTTGAAATGTCAAATGTTGCCGATTGACAGGATTTTCTAATTATATTAAGGGGGGTCCTTTAATTCCATTATAATGAGGATTTTTTATATGATGAAACTATGTCATTTGTTTGTGCTGTCAGATTTCTCAGTTGCTTACTCTGCCTTTCTTCAGTTTATTTTGCTAGATTCTCGTATTTGTTTTTTTTTTTTTTCCTTCTAATTACATGCAGTTCTTATGCCTGGGAAATGACAGACAAGGACGGAAGGGTTTCATTCTCAAGGAGTCTTTCAGTCCCTAAAGAGGCTGCTGAAGCATGAAGGCATTTTAGGATTGTATAAGTAAGTTTGAAATTTAGGGAGTTCAAGTAATTATGTTCCAGTTTTATCAATTTATCACTCTAGTTATTTAGGTATGGCTGTTATATCTTTTCAGAGGAAATGGTGCTAGTGTTCTTCGTATTGTTCCGTATGCAGCATTACATTTCATGACATATGAGCAGTACCGATGTTGGATCATAAACAATTACCCTTCCCTGGGAACAGGCCCTTCCATTGACCTTTTAGCTGGTTCAGCAGCTGGAGGAACAGCAGTTCTGTGCACTTACCCCTTAGATTTAGCTCGAACAAAACTTGCTTATCAGGTAATTCATACAAATAACTTGTATTCCAGCCAAGCTAGAGTTTATTCCACTGTACTATGAGTATTTTGATGTTTTGCTATTTCTGTTAATGACTTTTCTTTCCTTTAGGTGCATTTATTTTTTAACAATTATGTGCCCTGAGTTTGATAAAATTGAATTTATGTATCTCATATTATTATCAATGGTTGTCACCACAAGTTCATGAGGATGCAAGTAATCATGCATGTGCATTGGCTTAAACATCATTTCCAATATTTGTCATGGTGTTCTTTGGAACCATATCCTTGCTCTTTGTTTCCTCTTTAAAATTTATCATTGTTTATGGTCTTTGGATAGTTTACCTGAGTGCATTCCTGTAATTAATTACCAGACCTTCTCTCCCTGCCACCTTACTTTTCTTTTTTGTTTTTCTGTACGAGATCTGAATCATGTACTATATAGGTGTTGCACACTTTCTGGTTTTTGGGACTTATAATATTAGGCCTTTGGCCATTCTGCTTTTGTTTTGTGGGCCACCAAAAAAAGTTAAAAGATAAATGCTTAATATGTATGGAAACATAAGAATTTATCATTATCCCAATTCTAGTTCATATTTTATATTTAATGACAGTGTTACTCCAATAGGTTCTTCAGTTCCTTCTTAAACCTCAAAAAAACTTTTAAGAGATTCATTTTTGAGCTTCAAAGCGAATAGATCTTCCATCTTCCTCGTTAGTCTTGCCACTAAATGTTACCTCTTGACCTACATAAAAATTTCATCCCCATCTTCCCGAGGGAAAACTGGGGAATGATGCTGCTCTTCTAACACATGTGGTTTTACACAAACTGTTTCACAAGTAGACTTTTACTTCATCATGCCTTTTAACCACTCACTCTTAAAGCAGGCTGTGGTAAGAACTTAGAAGGTGATAAATCTTGTAATCCCAGGCAGTGCCAAGCTCTGTTTCTCCACCTCACCATCCCTTTTAGCCACTCACTTGTGCTCATGTTAATCCTAGATTTATCCGAACATCTAATTCTTAATAAATGCAAGGTGATAAGTATGAAATATCTGCATTTAATTAAAAAATTAAGTTGACATAGGAAATGGAATTTAACTTGGAAAATATAAAGCATGATAGTCCAGTACTTAACTTATTTTTCCAAAACTAGTGCAACTGAATTGGAATTTTCTTATTCATTGAAATTTTATAAGATAAATTCTTTATTGTTATATTTTATAAAATTATTTCATATTTCTATATTTGAGGAAGTTTAATTGAAACTGAATCAGTTACTATAATTTAATAGAATATAATAGAAAAAGTATTTTTCCTATGTAGACTGATCAAACAGATGGTATTGTTAGAAATTTCAGATGTATTAAAACAAAGGCAACAATCAGAGAGAAAGTAAACTGGAAAAGTAAGCATAACGATTCATTTAAGGCAGAGGGTGGTTAATTCCTGATTTTTTAGTTGTGTGAAGCATGAGATATTTGTTGGTGGTAAGAAATTGTTTTTTATTGGAAACGATAACTTTATTAATGAATTTTCAAAATACAACTGACAACCCCTAGTAGACGGAGTTGAACCACAAACATTGAATTACAACACTGCCCAAAACATATTCCCCCTAACAGTCCCTTGTTTTGCTAATATATCCACTAGTCCATTATCTGATCTTCTTATCCATTTAAAGCAAGCACCAATCTCCCTTGCTAGGCTGATAATTTCCCTTAACAATTGTCTACGTGTCCATGCTCCCAAACTACCTGATTGCAGCCATCCAATTTCCAACTTTGAATCCCCTTCTATTTTGATTTGTTGTAGTCCCAACTGCTTTGCATATCTTACACCTTATAGTAATCCCATGATTTCTGCTCTCAAAAAGTCTCCCACTCCTATTGGGCCCAAGAACAATGCTAAATTCCTGCCTTCTCCATCTCTGAAAACACCCCCTATAACTGAGTGTCCCGGCTTGCCTATTGAACTACCATCAAAATTCAGCTTCACCCTGTTTTGTATTGGCAGGGACCAAAGCTTGATCACTTATTTGTGATCAATCTACAATTATTTATTGTTGGATTACATCAATCTACAATTATTTATTGTTGGGTTCCTTTCTGTATATCTCAAGTGGCTTAAATCTTACATGTTTGATCACTTAATTGTGAGGCTGCCCTCTGATAGTTTATTAACCTATTGTTTTGCCTTTTTGTCTTTATTATAGTAAAATGTGTATACATCTCTAAAAAGTATTGAGAATAAGACCCCAAGTACCTCGGTCATGATTCAATTTGTGTGGTCTGATAGTGTATGAACCTATTGTTTTCCTTTTTGTCTTTAATATAGTAAAGGTGCATACATCTCTCAAAAGCATTGAGAACAAAAAACCCCAAGTACCTCAGTCACGATTCAATTTGCATGGAAAGATGGAAATAACTAATGATCTGGAGACCTTAACATCCAACCACAACCCTTGTGTATTTCTAGCTTTCCTATACTTGCCAAAAATTATGGGTATGCCCTCTTCTCTCCCATGAGAATAAAACCCTCTTCTAAAAAGCATTGAGAATAAAACCCCAAGTACCTCAGTTGGTCATGATTTAATTTGTGTGGTCTGATAGTGTATGAACCTATTGTTTTTCTTTTTGTCTTTATTATAGTAAAAGGTGCATACATCTCTCAAAATGAGCTGTATCTGTGGCCTTTTCTTTCACACATATTAGGACTGGAAATGATTTTTTTTTTCTTAAGCCGTGTTTATTTCAATGTAGGAGAGGCTGAAAATGGCAGACATATCTTGGAATTAAAATTTTTTGCTCCTTTTAGATTATAACAAAGAAAGCCTTAATGAATCATCAACATGATCAATTCCAAAATCATCTTGTGATTGGCTTAACTTTTTGGATACATTTGCCTGAAGGGTTCAGATAAGCATTTGTGCATTGTTTTTCTATGCAACCATATTTGCACATCACGAAACACAACTCCATACATCATTTCCATGTTTGTTGTGGCATAAAAAATGGAGAATGGTACCACAAATCCAAACATTAATCAACTAGGTGTTTGTGAGCATGATAAGTTGCTTGTGAATTTGCTACAAATTAATGTATGTTTCACATGGTTTTCTCTACATCTACTTAATTCTCAAGAATATGTGGCACCTATTGGTGAATCTTCTTAGTTCGTTGTTAATTTATTGTTGATATAGATGCTTGAGAATTGATTTTTTTTTTTTTTTTTCATTTCTCTAATTTGAGTTCATTGCAAGATTTTATAGGTGATGGACACCAAGGCAAGTTTCAGGAATGGTATCCATAGTTATCATGCCCAACCGGTATACAATGGGATAAAAGATGTTTTTAGAAGTGTTTACATGGAGGGTGGCATCCTTGCTTTGTATCGAGGTGTAGGTAAGCACTTGCCATGATATCTCCATGTCCTAGGTTATCTTCCAAATTGACCATATTCTTTGTATTTATTATCTACTTTTTAATGGAAACTACTGAAGTTGGAAAACTTTTGAGTTTGTGGCAACAATTATTTTGAATGTACTAATCTTTGTGGTAAGTAGTGTTGCCAAATATTCAAGAGGAGAACAAGAACTGCTCCCTGTGCTTTTTTCTTATGGCCTTTGCTCTCCATCTCAAAAGCATGTTAGCATTGCTTGCTAGTAATACCATTAACATTCTTGGGGATATTACATAATCATCTATTAATTTGGATGACTATTTTTTTATATGCTTTCAAGCAGTAACACTTAAAAAGCCTACTTTGATCAGGTCCAACACTCATTGGAATTCTTCCATATGCTGGTCTTAAGTTCTATGTATACGAGGAACTTAAGAGGCATGTTCCTGAAGAACACCAAAAATCCATCATAATGCGCCTATCCTGTGGAGCTCTAGCAGGGCTATTTGGACAGACCTTCACATACCCACTGGATGTGGTGAGGAGACAGATGCAGGTATTGCCCCTTTTCTGTTATTTCTTATATATTCAATTAATAGTGTGTTTTTTTTATTTCATTTATCAGTTATAATAAAATTTCAATGTTCTAGTAAGATATCAAAATGATACTGGATTGGTTTGTTTACTCCTTGGTCCAGTACCAATGAATTGAGGGAAGCAAAGGTATTAACTGGATAGGAAAGGATGGTCCCAACAATACTGTGGCAGATATGTTGTGTGATCTGGAGGTTAGAACCAATACTTGGTAAATCTATTTGTTGCACAGTGGTCAATCAAGTTGAATTTTTATTTGAATTGACAGCCCAACAGCCTCAATATGCTGCCATGCAGTTGGGAAACTTTCCATCCAGCAGTTACCTTGGGGATAACCTTCACCGTATTCGGCTTGAACCTTTGACTGGTAATCTTTTCTGAGTTCTTAGAACTATGACGTTTCAGATTCAGAGTCTTCAACCATCAAACCAAGGAGGTGATCCTAGGTACAGGGGCACATTTCAAGGGCTTACCACCATCATCCGCAATCAAGGATGGAGACAATTGTTTGCTGGCCTAAGCATCAACTATTTAAAGGTAATTACAGAATATACTCCCTTTCTGTAGTCTGTTTTGCATGACCAGTTTGTTGACAAATCTGTTATAGGATCTTTGATACACAATCCTCCCGTTCTCAAAATGGATACACTACTCCACATGTACTAGATTTCATCAGCTTTCTTAATGCAACTTGGATGTTTCCTTTGGAGTCTTGCTGATAGAAAATTGATCTCAGTATGACTATAGTGCCTGACATGAAAATCTAGAGTTGCTTATAAGAACAACATCAGGAGATATGCCAGAGTTCAATCTTAACCGTTCAGTCCCATAAAGGTCTCCCCAGGTCAATTTTTATCCGACTGTCTTCTTGACTCTGTTCTTGGCCGGAAGAAGTTAGTAATTGAATTGTTACAAGTCACTTTATTCCTTTTCTCTTAACACAAAGTATGCATTTGCTTTCACGTAGAAGGGCCAGAAAAAAATGTTTTTGACATAGAAAAGGTAGAAAAATAACTGAAGTTTCAGATTGAGAATTCTTCCGCCTGTTTTACATTAAAACAGACAGACCAAAAGAGTATTGCAGATCCATTGTGTTGGGGTCTAAAATCTTGCATGGTCTGGATGTTAGCTTACACTGTTATAACACTAGACTTACTAGATGTGATGCCAACGACTATTTAGAGAAATGCTAATAGTAAACAATATGAAGACTGCTAGTAAACAATGAGTTTATGCAACTCTTGATCTGTTCAGCTTTTATCTCGAACTGTCTTTTCATGGGTTTGAGCATGTTTGTAGCCTTAAAATTTGGAAGAGTTGTATAAATTTCGTTGTTTGCTATCATTCCCAGGTATTTTATGTCAAAAGAAAAAAAAAAACTCAAGAATACATGGTTCAAAGTATCGTGTATCGTCAGAGGTGTATTGGTACTTTCAGTGATACCCCCAATTATTTATTTATTTTTGGTTTTAAAAATAATTATATATATTATTTAGAAAAAAGATTCCCGAAAACACCTTGTAAACAGGTGTATTGGGAACCAAAAGATACGATATGATACGCCCGATATGGGGTGTATGGTATCGAAACTTTGATCCTTGCAAGAATATCCATACAGAAAGCTCTATGAAAATGCTTAGTGAATTACATTTTTTCACGGCATCTCAGTGCCTGGTGTTTGTTCAATTGTTCTCTATGCCCTGATAGCTCGAGTAGCACCACTCAAGTTCGACACTCTCCAGTTTCCAGAGTCTTTATTCAATTTGGTGGCTTGTTAGCCAACATCTTGTTAAAGCTTTGTGAAACAGGGGATGATTGACAAGGTTTGTATTACTTTGTGGCAGATTGTTCCATCCGTGGCAATTGGTTTCACCGCATACGACGTGATGAAGTCTTGGTTACGTGTTCCACCCCGGCAAAAGTCTAAATCAGTGTCAGCTGCATGAAGGCATAGCATTATATTAAAATATCTTACTACAAAAGGAAAACTATCTGCCGAAATCCAAATAAGGTGTGACACTATTGCCATGTGGGGACAAGGGGTTTTGCTTTGGACAGTTATAGAGTTCAAGATGGCTTGCTGGATGTGTTATCTGAATTGAATCATGCACTCTCTGCTTATCCAGCGACTGTACATTTCTTGTGTCCTCTTATTTTTGCATGGATGAAGAACAAAGACTAACTTGCACATTGTATATGGTTTCAATTTTGAAACGGGTAATAGCTCAATTCTTGTTTTGTAATATACATTGCTTTTAAATGCCAGCGAACAGTTTTTTTTTTTCTTTTCTTTGTTTTTTGGTTCTTTTGCTAGAAATAGTTTTTAGACTATCTGTCAGCTTCAGATCATCGATAACTTTTCTTTTTTTTAATTCTTTTGTTAAAGCTAACAGCAATATACTATTATATTTAATGGCAAATGTACGTTTCTTTCTTTTATCTTCTGGAGCTCAGTCAGCATCTCAATCTATATCCCATGAAAGATGAAAAATTGGAATTTATGAAGAGTTAGTGCAGATTGCAGAATAGCATTAGATCATTGGATACAGATGCCCAACCCATTTGGTAAATATGACTCATCGAACACATGAACTTTTGCTAGGAAGCACTTCTCAATTTCTCATATTGCTCTAACATTGAAGCTAGAATGAAGGTGACTGGTGCTGCAGGGTGGGCTCAGGTGAACTAGTTAATTCAACTAGTTTTTCAGTCCAAAACTGATCACATTCAACATCTCTCTTGTTTTATAATGGTTCCATTGGTGGGGGGTGCAAAGCTCTGGACCCAACCTTCCTTGAAATTCTTGGATCCAGTTACATGCAGCACGTGAGAGCTCTCCCATTCATCTACAGATCATTGTGTGCTAGGACCCGTGTAAGGAAAGAAGAAGGAGCAAGAGGGGGAAGATAATAACTTGGTGGAATGAATTATCTATGTGAACCAATTGATCAATCTAGTAGTAATTAATTAAGAGTAATATCATCTCCCCGGATAAAATGAAAGAGCTACAACGTTCTCAAGGAGATGATGATGTACAGAGATGGAGAGAGAAAGCCACAAGGGTGGGCGGCTCATTGTGTGTGAAGTGTATAAAACATTAAGGGTTGAAGAAAGAAGTCCCACATTTGCATTTCCAGCCCTCTGGCTCATAATTGGCATATTGAACACCGAGATGGTCGGTGGTCGTTGGTACTTGTATGGCTTGACATGGAGTGCATCGTCCACACTTGCGCTGACAGTTTGGTGGTCTGGAACCCAGAGTGCTCAGCGATTTAATAGCTTCTTCGTTCACCAATATTCCCCCTGTACTCTTGAAACTCTTTAAAAGAGACAATCAAACATAGGTAAACAACAAATCCCATTTGAGAGAAAGACAGAGAATCGACTTTTCAGTGTTATTATTACCTGTTTTGGGTCGAAGGTAGCATGTAAAGACATTGGACTTTGGCCTGTCATTGACGAAGCACGAAAATATTAGAAAAGAAAAGTAATAATATGATATCCGTTTTAACACCAGAAAAGGAAGAAACATAAAGGAGAACAATGTCTCAAGTGGAAAGTTGGGTAAAACCAAACAGATACAGATCACCATATGGAGAAATTTTAAGAAAGAGAAGAGATTTTCACCAAAGTGAATGAACATGATAAGACGAAACAAATGCTCCCCTTAAGTTGGGAGGAAAGAAAGATCAGAGGCTCCAATAACCTGGATTACGAGCACCACCATATGCTGCAATGGGTCTGCTGGTTGCAGAAACCCAACTCACCATCTGCAGAGTTGTAACTAATACAAGAAACAATGCTATTCTCTTCCGTTCCACAGAAACCCACATGATATGGTGATTATGAGACTCTGTATGTCGAGAGAAAGAACTCATACTTCAACAGGACAGATATGATTGTTGACTATGTATATACAATATGTAAGAAAGTGATAAGAAGAGCCTATATAAAACAAGAAGCTCCTGCCCCCTGGACCAGAAAGCAAGCTCGACATCACCTATTTATTAACTCCTTTTCTAATACTCTTATATTGGATTTGTCTCAATCCCCTGCGCATAGGTCTATCCTATTCTCGCGTGATAGAAAGATCTTGCTTCTTAGACAAGTGATCCTTCTCTCTTATCAAACAGTTTCAAATCACTCAAATCCCCCTTTGACAACTCACTTGAAGACCATATGATTAATCCGTTTTCTCTGTCCCTCTTTTCTCTCTTTCTCAATTCAAACTCTCTGTTGTCTTTTCTTTGAATGCAAGCAAACACCACCTTCTGTCCACAGATGCATCTAAACTTGTACGGTTCGAGCCGGTCCTTCAGCTCGGGAAACAGCTTCCTTTTTTGGGTCTTAAACACCTAGCGAACCCCTACGATATTTAGAGAATTTAGGAAAAATCCTAGGCTGCATCGACTGCGGAGCCTTTTGTTCTGATAATTTCTATTCCTTTTCAAGGAAAGACATCCAGAGAAGCAATAACCCAATTACAAAATGCAGAGATAATGCAGCATATCCAATTACAAAAAGGGTCTTCTGCATTCATACTCAGACTAATTAATTTAGTCAGATATAGTGAAGATTGCCTTAATCAAATTGGTGACTTGATCAATCCACACCGTCTCTTTGTTTGAAGACGTCAGCCAAAACTGATTAAACAGTGGGTCCGAAAGTGGAGTGTTGTGATTATTGATTTTACGCTGTTAGTTGCATGGTTTGAATTGGTTTTGAAGATACTTGGTTGTACTTTCGGAGGTACTTCAGTGTACTTGACTGTACCCTATAAATTATCTTCCATCAAAATTTGGTTTTTTACGCAGTAAATCATAATATTAGTTTGGATGGGAACCTGGGAAGCAAGCTTGGTTACAAACAGAAATTACATTTAGCATATTCAAGAATTCTACTCTGGGAAAGTGTGAAGGACTAATTGATCAGTTATTACGTTTAAGTTTTCTTCTTACAAATAAAAAATGATGATGGGTTTCAGACTTTCAGTGGATTTAAACATGGAAATTAAAGATGAGAAGAATATATAATTGCTCATAATCCAGCAGCTGATTTATTGATAGAATGTGATCACCCACAGTTGGACAATGCTAACGGTTTAATTTAATGGATCCATGGAATTTTGAGGGTTGATCAAAGAAGCTATGGCCTTCTGGGACACCCAGAGTACTCATAGTCTAGGAGATTGAACTGGTCTGGTCTGGGGTGTACCGTGTACCTTTGTATGTAAAAGAACTTAACCAAGATAGTAAACTAGTTTCCCGGAGCTCTTTCCTCTTTTGAGGTAATAGGGTTGCTTAATGGAGAACTTTTGTAACAACATGCTAAATGCTAATGTCATCTTCAATAAATAAGAATAGAAAGCCACTGACTGCAACATTGCAACACTGCAAGTACAACTGTAATTAAACCCAGTAGTTGAGAGAGAGAGAGAGAGAGAGAGAGAGATTGCTTTAATCCATCCATTTAACGACTGGTGGAATTAAATGCACCGCACCCATGTGTCTGTCTTGCTTTTGCTTTGCTGTGACTGGAGTCTGGGGGCTAAAAGACCAAACCTCTCCACCCCACAGTAAAAAGCAGAGTTTGTGGAGCATTTCCAAAGAGGATTTGTGGATTTTAATGAATCAAATAATGGGAATGGAGTGGAAGCAAAGCAGGATTTGATAAGAAGCTTAACGTGGTAAAATCGTTGTGGGTGTTTGCTGTTGTTCATACTTCTTACTGTTTCCTAGGGTTTCTTGATTTTCTGAGCAGGCTTTGTGAATTGTGATTGAGTGATTTGATCATTCACTGTGGTGAAATACAGTCTACTCTACCACCTCACCTATGTATGTATAGGGAGAGAAGATCACTGCTTGTCACCTCGAACTGGCTCAGTTTGTAGCGGCGGAACAAAGCCACTCAGCTGATCGATTTTAACTGCTAGTGCTAGTATATACGAGAGAGCAAGGGTTCAATTGTTGCTGCCTACAGAGCGTCACCATATTCTACCCATGCTCAACATGAAAGATTCCAATCCAGTGGCCGGTGTTGATTTCATAAGCATCTAAGTACATCATGCAGGCCGTTATCTTTTGGGTCTTCTGATCCCTCTCTCATTGTCCTTTTGTTTGGTTGCTAGATCTGGAGTCTGGTCTATATATATATATGGTCATTGTTTTCTAAACGTCTATCTTCTTCCTCTCAAAATCTCACTCTCACCTACTAGAGAGTACAGTACTCCAACTACATTCTTCTGGTGAGAGGGAAGGCTTGAAATTTCATTTCAAAGTGATGGATGTGATTGTAGTCTGTACTTGTAGAGAGTGGGGTAGGAGTTGTGGTTCTTCCAACGCCATTTGGTAATTTTGAGCAGTCTCTTCAGTCGTTCAATGATATTCGGCTATTTAGGTCTCCCTCTCAAATCAACTCAGCATGCATCCTAATTTCTAAATTTGCTTGGAATCCAAATCCTTTAGAATTGGAACCGGAATTATTTAATTCCTGTACCGTTCTGATTCCAGACCCCTATTCCCACGAACCAAACGGATTGGAAGGTCAGATTAAAGAGCAAAGCACCGTCTATAACTGCCCATCATCTTGGAATAGTGGTTAGCATTTTGGCAAACAAACTTCTAAGCTGTGTCTGTTTTCATGTGAAAGGAAAGGAAAACATACACACATACATCCTATAGCCACTGATGAGCAGTTAGTTATAGGCTGTTTTAAACTTGGACAGCCTGGGCTGTCAACATATACATCCTATAGTTCACACACTCCATGTAATGTAACAGTATCAGTTGCTCTGTGAACTGACAGACAAGATATTGCAGCAGCAGCAGGGAGAGAGATGTTGACAGCTCAGGCTGTAGATCATGGACAACTAAAGTTTTCTCCAACCCTATACTTTATTTTGACCAAGGTTGTCTTCTTTACCCTCGGTCTCAGGTCGATACAAGCGCTACAAGTGCATGATGAGATCACATCTCCGCCCCACAGCACCATCCCCGCCATTTATTAGGAACATCTCCCGATGATGACATCATTGATTCTGATATTATCATTGGGAGATAATTCGCAATGCACGGCGAATATGTTCTGTGGGGCAGAGATGTGAATTCCAACTGCATACCACGAATACAGTGTAAGTCAAAAATGCATTTTGCCAGGGCAGTCTGGATTGGGTGGGTTAGACATAGGCCTCCACGAGTTCAGATCTGCACCCAACAACGTCCCACAGCACATCCTTGCGATGCATGGGAAATATTTTCCAATGATAACATCATCGATTCTGATATTGTCATCGGAAAATATTCCCAATACACGGTGGGGATATATTGTGGGGCGCCCCCTTGTAAACTCAGCCTTCCAGGCTCCAGGCTATCAAATGCAGGCCTGGCTGGCTACAAAAATTAGAGTTTTGACTTTGGAATTACCATTAGGTTGGATAATGGACGCCCAAACCAAGAAATCTTTCAAGAATCCACATCCCCTATTTAAACTTTGGACAAAGTAGAACGGGGATTTGATAGCAAAAAACTGAAGTTTCTAATGCATTAGGAAGCATCTAGGAACATTGTACATTCTGAAAACGTTTAGGGGGTGTTCTACAATATGGCTGGTTTTCTTTTGTATGTCAGCAATAACGAAAAAAATTTGTTGATGTATCAGACTATCAGTTTGTTTTTGTGTTCAAAAACAAAACCAATGATAAGGTATGTATTGAGAGACCTAACTGCTACTCTTTCTTAACTTTTATGCAAGAACCGAACAAAGAAAAGGCCAATCTCTAGTCATGGTTGCTCTTCACTCTATGGATTGAAGATGCATGTGTATAGCTATATTTATGGAGCTTTACGATCGCCTAAAGAGGGAGAGGCATTCCTTTGTACTTATAACCAAATGCTCCATCAACCTCTATTTTATAATAATACTGGCAGCTCTTTGTTGTGAATCAGCAGCACTTAACCGACTCCATGCACTCCTCTCAGGAGTCTTAGGTCAGTCTAAAACTCTAACTACCTTACTAACTGAAGCCTAATCACCTACTGGGTCCCACAACAGGTTTGATTCATCTCAAGCCATCCAATGAATTCCACAACATCAAGGTTTCCCAAGACATGTGCTCTGGCCAAACACCACCCATAGTCAAGCCAAGCGGTCCAGATCCAGATGGACGACAAGGGCATAGGACTGGACCCCTACAATTTTACAGGCCGAGTCTGGGATCTTCTCCCAACGATGCATCCGCTGGGACAGTTTTAGTTGGGAGGAGATCCCAATTTGGTGCAAGCACCTTTTAATGACCGAGTCTAAATCGCCTCCCAACAAAAACTTTCAAGAGATGAACCATTCCAATATGATTTTTGTCTGCACATCTCGTATATAGCAGGTCCCAGAAATTTTTAATTGGTAAAGTTTTTTTGTTAGTTGTAGCAGAGACTTGGGATGGATATTATAGAGACAAAAATAAAAAATAAAAAATCAAACCCGCCTTGACTGGGTTTATATCAAGTTTGGAACCGTGTGGGTTGGGCCTGATACTCAAACCCTTAGGCCTAAAAATCCGATTGGGCTTGGATTAAATACATGCCTTTTATGTATAATTTTATAACTCTTTTAAAATTTAGGGTTTTGAATACGAGGAGAAGATTTCAATTCATAGAATATAATAACTTTTATAACTCTAAGTACAAAATTAGGTGTTTGTCAAGCGCAAAAGCAAATTCCATTCTGAGTCGGTTTTTATGTGGTGTATTTTTCCTTTACAAAATTAGGCATAAATTTTAATTTTTACATCGACCCACATAGAAGCAGGCTTTTATATATATATATATATATATATATATATATATATATATATATATATATATATATATATATATATATANATATATATATATATATTATTAGCCCTAGGGTGCGGGTTGGGTCCAGGCAGCTCAAAATGTTCTAACACCCCTATGAAAATCCGGCCTGGGCCCCTGGCCCGGCTCAATATCATCCCACATATAGTTGACAATATTTTCAGACTAATCAATTCATTAATATACCAAAAAGGACTTAACTGTTGATGAAATTCATTGAATTGAAGGGCCAACAAGATTATCAGAGGGTCAAATCAATTGGAACCAATGACCAGACCACATCCTCTGTACCAGCTAGTTGTGATTCAATGGACTTTTCAACATCCTCATCCCCTACCATACATATGTCATAGGCATCACATTTATTTTTGAAGCACTCAAATATGGCTTTAGCTTTGACTTTGCACCTAGTCCTGTTAAACAAAAAGATTAAAGGGAGAAATAAACAATACTGTTCCTTGTTTCAAACTCAAAATCTTATCAACGTGCTCTTCGACTAACTAAATTCGTCCATTGATGTTTATATTTTTATTCACCTTTGCAAAATCATCAAATTGGGACCCACTTATAATACATGAAGAACCACTAGCATTAATTGTGTCACCTATGTCTCTATATAGGGCCATCACCTTCACTTATGGATACTATATATGCATTTACGATAATGTCCAATGTATAGATCGGGACAATTTAATATTACTATTTTTTATTTCTCTTTCTCTATCTATCTAATACTCAATGCTTATAATATATCTACCATTTTCGTTAAAAGTCTCTTCAAACCTTTTATTACTCTCTTTTATTAAACCGGGGTATGAATTAGATAAATTAAATGTGATTAAACGCCAATTTCAGATGAACTCTAAGATGGAACTTGACATGAACCCAAATTGATATGAGAAGTCAAGATTATCAATCCAAAACTTAACCAAATTTCTATTCAACCTCACTCGTTACATGAAATTACTTGGATTAAATACATGGGGCCTGAAAGACACGTAAATGACATAACATGGTTGGGACTTGGGATAGAGTTGAAGTCATTGCCATTTTCATTGATAACTTGTTGGAAGGTGAGAGGCGTTGGACCACGCTAAATAGACTTCAATCCAATACACGGCATAGGCATAATAGGCTAGGCAACTAATGAGTCAGACTCGGACTGTCGGAGCACATAGTTTCTGCGATTGTATTGTGGACCCGAGTCACCCGACGACCCAGTACACGGTTATAACATGCCCCTCCCAACTTCAAATGACTTGCCTCCGACCGTCAATCGGTCCATGGATCAAGAAGTTGTTCTGTTTCAGTCAAAAATGATGTCCATGTCAATAAGGGTGTCAAATACACCGGTTTTAGATTGGACTTGGACCAATAATAGAAATATTAAATTGAATCAATTCAGTCCAAAATATTTATTAGATTAGATTAGACCTGATATCCGTCTGTAATAAATTTATATTCGATTGGGTTGGATTCAGTCTATATCTTTTCCATTGATATAAGATAAGAATATAGGTGTTAATGGACCGGGTTTGGATAGAAACTAATCTAAATTAAAAAGAATCTGAATTGATTGGACGGTTCAGTCATTGAATTGGACCGGTCCAAAATATTCGTTGGATTGGATTGGACCTGGTCCATTTGTAATGGATTCACATTGGATTGGATCAGATTGGACCAAATCCAGTCCAATTGACACCCCTACATGTCAAAAATATGCCCAATGAGATGACATGTGTTTTAACTTGTAACCAACTTTAAGAAAACTATTCTCCATCTGAGTTCGAATCTGCTCCTCGCATCGCACCAACCTTACAGCATATTCTGACCATACATTAGAAATATCTCCCATACTTGTATTTATTATTTCATAGGGAAAATATTCCTAATACAGGGTGGGACGTGGCTGTGAAGTCAGAGATCGGATCTGTTACTCACAGAGTGTACCTCACACCAACATCACAGCTCATTTTCAGTTGTGCATTGGAAATTTTTTCGAAATTGTAAATTTTTATTCATGGGAAGATGTTCCCGATGCATGGCGGGAAGGGGCGGTGTGAGGTGCACTCTGTGAGGAGAAGATTGAGACCAGTGTGAGTAGACCTGTTCGTGGGCCGGGTTGGGCTGGGCTTAGGTCAGGCTTTTACTCTTCATGAATGGAAATTTTTCAGGCCCGACCAACGGGCCTACAACTTGAGCCCGAGCCCGACCCTGATAAAAAGCCCAAGCCCGAAGCCCAAGTTCGCGGTGACTGTAAGCTGCGATTTCAACAGTGATCAATTCGCGTCTAAGAGAGAGAGAGAGAGAGAGAGAGAGAGAGAGAGAGAGAGAGAGAGAGAGAGAGAGAGAGAGAGAGAAAGAGAGAAAGTGAGAAGAGGAACAGAGAATGTTCGCCGCCTCGCCGGTTGTGTGGTTGCTTGAGAGTGTGAGGACTGAGGACTGAGGAGGATGTGAAGACTGAAGAGAAGAGAGGTTCGGCTCGAAAGAGGTGAAAGAGAAGAGGGGTTCGACTAGGATTTTTTAACTTTAATCTATAGGTCGGATTGGGTCGGGCTATTTTAGCAAATCCTGAGCCCGACTTGAATTTATTGCGGGCCGGGCTTTTTGACCCGAGATTAAGCCCGCGAGCTCTTTTGCGTGTTCAAGCATGTCTGGGGGTCGGGCCGGCCCATGTGTGAGCCACGCTGGGGCAAATCCCAATTCTCTCCATCTCTTATCCAATATATTGAAGTGTAATTAAAAATTGGAGGGTATCTATCAAAAAAAATATTAAAATTTGGAGGGTTGTGATATTTAATGCGTCCAAGGTGGGTTTGGAGGGCTGCTAACCATCACAGGAGAAGAATAATGGAGGCCAAATCTGTATCCGCATATTACAGGTAGAGTGGGTTTCAGTTTTATGGCGAGACGTGGAGACACAAATTATATTAGAACCATATTGGGACAGTTTTTGTTGTATAATTGTAAACAACTCCTAATCTTACACAACATCCAAAGGTTCATTCATGCACCGAAGCAGTTGGATGGACAAGGACAAATGGATTTAATAAGCTGGACCAAGTGCGTTGTATGTTCTACTTCTACAGGACTCCAACCAAATGTAACCCACCTATTAAATGGATTCTGATCCACAAACCAGAACCCCACAAACTAGGAGGAGAAAAATACTATTTATATTAAAAAATTAGAAAGAAATTGTAACAAAAATAAAAAGGTATATCGGTTGTTTGGAAGGAAAAGTAAGGCAGAGAGACAGCAACAGAAAGTTGAGCCAAAAATCTTATTCACTCCTTAACTTTAATTTTAGGATTATGCAGCATAAACTTTGTTTCTTTGAATATTGGAAATGTCAAAGGGCCGTGTTTGGGACTCTACAACATCCTTTTATTTTTCTATTGATGATGGCGGGGCGTGTGTAACTCTGTGTACATGACTAGAAACTTAGAAAGAGGTGTGGACGGACTATGGGAATTGGAATTGGGAATAGCATTCTAGTCACGGTAACAGATGACTGACTGTCTGTGTCTGTCATCATCTACCATTCCTATCTTCCCGAGTTCAGATTTGCACCCCACAACAAATCCCAAACGTGTATCGGAATATACACTGAGATGAGGTGTGAAGGTGGGGCGCAAATCTGAACTCTATCTTCCCTGTTCTATTATATACTCCTTTCAATTTCAGGTTATTTCATGGAAGCTTGAGAGAGCCCAGAACCGAGAAAAAAGAAAGAAACTTACAACTTTGACCGCCTACTCTATTTTCTTCCAAAAATTTTTTCTACACTTGTGTCGTGAATTCCACCCGTGGAAACTCGTGCTGTCACCCCCTTTTTAACTTTTTTGTCCTATCAGAAGATTATCGGACTCCGAAGCAAAACTACTAAATCCCAATCTCTCTTTTTGGATGCCTCGATCTTTGTCTTTTGCGTATTTGAAGGTTTGAACAACAAACTACAAATAGATCGTGTACAGTGGGCTATGAAACCAATAAAAAAGTGAACACGTCGGCGATCCGTACACATTGGACCACGGCTCCTTTTGCTCGCTTTACTTTGCTCCCCCGCCCCCCTCTTCAATATCATTCTCTTCTACTGACTAACATTCTGGTTTGACTTCCATTGATGGGTCCTTTCATTACGATATATAAACCGGGTAGCTGGTTACGAATTCGGTAGTCTCGTCCAAAGCAGCTATTTTTACCTTCACCAGGATTTTGCCCCCGAGACCTCGCGGAGGTGTTCGTTATCTTCAACTTTTAGGTAACAGAACCTTCATCCTTCTTCCTTTTCGTGGACTTTTTGTTCTTGGATAACAATGTTTCCATCTTTCCATAGTATGTCTTTATTGTTTTCCGTTCGCTTTTCCGGTTCTACCCTCTTCTTCTTCTTAATCAGGACTCTTGTCGTGGAAATGAATTGGGTTTTGGGTCTAGTTCAGATTTCTACGAATTTGGGGTTTTTAATTAATTTAAATGAAAACTAGTGATTTTGGGTGCTTAACCAGAGAAAACTCTTCTCTCCTCTTTTGGGCTTCATCGCCTTCTACTTTCATCCTTTTCTTTTTCTTCAAACTAGCAAGTTGCAAGAATTTGTGGAGTTTTACAACTTACATGGTTTTCTTCGATCTTCTAAAGCAGCTTGACTTTTCGCTATTCGGACATTGGACTCTGTTGCTGCCTTTTCTTCAATGGGATTATCACTTTCCTTGCTTTTATCAGCCTGGAAAGAAATCTTGAAAATCCGGATGCTTGGATATGCTGCTGACAATGTGAAAACAGTTACAGTGAGATCCATCAACTTTGATGGAAAAGATGGGGAAATGACCTTGAGAACTGTTAGCTTCAAGAAAGAAGATACAGAGGCCGTTTTGAAGTCTGATGGGTCGGACAAGGTGATCATTGAAGAGCCCATTAGTTTCAAGAATTCAGTACCCCCAAAGCTAAAGCTTGAAACAACTGTTTCATTCAAGGATCTAGTCTTAGACAGCAAGAGCTTGAGTTCATCTACTTGGAAGAGCAAAGATGATAACTCGGTCAATGCATCGACACCCATAAGTTCCCTTCCTGATCCGGTGATACTGTTTTCCCCAAGGCCAGTGAGCGAGCTTGATGCAGCTGCTGTTAAACTTCAGAAGGTTTATAAAAGTTACAGGACTCGAAGGAACCTTGCGGACTGTGCAGTTGTGGTTGAAGAGCTCTGGTTTGTACCTTTTTTTTTTAATGTTTCTAGATGTTGGTTTTAATCTGGTTCCACCTCTCTGTGGGAAGTTTTCGGTTTTTCAGTAGTTTGATGGTGTTGTTCCTTCAAAATTTTACAGGTGGAAGGCATTAGATTTTGCAGCTCTTAAGCAGAGCTCGGTATCTTTCTTTGACTGCAGGAAAACAGAAACTGCTGTTTCACGGTGGGCAAGGGCAAGAACAAGGGCTGCCAAGGTACTCATTGAGTTTTGATATAAACTGAAGCCTTAAGTCTCAATAGGTTTGTTGTTTAACGGAAATGGATGATTTTTATGGTGATATGCTGCTTTCATATTTATAGGTGGGGAAGGGCCTGTCCAAAGATGAGAAAGCTCAGAAATTAGCTCTGCAACACTGGCTCGAAGCTGTAAGTTCACGTAAACCCCATCAATTGGAATGCCACTGTAGAACATGCTTCAGAAACTGATTTAGATGTTTGGCAATATGGACCTATTTTCTTGTTTTTTGTTTATGAACCTTAAGGACTTAGCAGGAACAGACAAATCAACTAAAAAATTTGGGTTGCTTCAGGTTGGTCATATCTGAGTCTGTCAAATATATGACTTTGAACATCTGTGTCTGTCCCTAGCTGGTTGCTTCAGGTTGAACGATGACATTTTTGGGTGTTTTGCATTTAATGGTGTTGCTTATTAGTTATGACTTAAAGAAGGTGATAGAAAAAACAGATGAAATTTAAGCTGGGTCATATCTCCTTATTTGGCATACAGATTGATCCTCGCCATCGTTATGGACACAATTTACACTTCTATTATGATGTCTGGTTTGACAGTGAAAGCACCCAACCTTTCTTCTACTGGTAAGCAGACCGTATACTGCCTTGTTGTCTGAGAAATTCTCATTTAATTACACATTGTTAAGCTTCTTACTTGGCAAAATTGAAGGTTGGATGTGGGAGATGGCAAAGAGATAAACCTCGAAAGGTGCGCAAGGACTGATCTGCAACGGCAATGCATTAAATATCTTGGACCAGTAAGTTTTCTGTATATGTTGTTTACTGAGACTACAATCATGTTTGTGATGAATGTGTAATTAAAATTAATCCATGTATCTCACTTGGGGGTCTCTCTGTCTGTCTGTCTGTCCTGCAGAAAGAGAGGGAAGCATATGAAGTGATCGTTGACAGTGGGAAGCTCGTCTACAAACAGAACGGAACGCTAGTGGATACGATTGAGGGATCAAAGTGGATATTCGTTCTGAGCACATCAAGGGCATTGTATGTCGGACAGAAGAAGAAGGGAGTCTTTCAGCATTCCAGCTTTCTAGCAGGAGGGGCCACAACGGCAGCTGGAAGATTAGTGGCCCACAATGGGGTTCTTGAGGTACCATATCCATATTCCATAGAAATGAATTAATGCGCTTAATTTGCTTCATTCATGGAAACCATGTTTATATGAATAATCATTCATGTATGGTTTAACTTGTATTTCACTGCTTGTTTTTCATCTTCTTCAGGCTATATGGCCATACAGTGGGCACTATCATCCAACGGAAGAGAACTTCAAGGAATTCATTAGCTTTCTGGAGGAAAACCAAGTAGACCTTTCCAATGTTAAGGTAATAGTTGCTTCAAATTTGTCCTGCTGATAACTCTGTATGCTCAATTGTGATAGGACATGTTTGTGTAGAAGGTGTTTGCATAAATGTTCTGATCATCCCCTTGTCTTAATTTTTGTTTCTTGTTCCAGAGGTGTGCAATAGATGACGACTGCCCCTCGTTCAAACTCAACCAGGAGGAGTCTAACTCAAAGTCAGCCGAGCATCCAACTGCAACAGTAGTAGTATCAGCAGATAAAAAAACAAGTGGTGAGAATGTGAGTGGAACCGCCAATACTGAAGAAGATAGTAAGAAGGAAATGAGCGCAGACAGAATGGGGCAAGCAGTTTTTGACGTGGCCAACCGTTTGTCACGGAAGTGGACGACTGGAGCTGGGCCTCGAATTGGGTGTGTGAGGGAGTATCCTACAGAGCTACAATTCAGGGCACTGGAGAAAGTAAACCTGTCACCAAGGGTGACGCCAGGACCCATCGGAAATTATCCCATCCCGTCGCCACGACCTAGCCCCAAGGTCAGACTCTCTCCCAGGATTGCGTACATGGGGCTCCCTAGCCCTAGGGTTTCTGTTCCCGTTGCTAACTAGACGTGGCCATGAAGAAGATGGCTAACCATTCAGCTCTCTTTGGGTGCTCTGGGCTGAAAGCCTGAACTCTTTTTTTGGTAACTAGGGCATACTGTAAATGATCGTTTTTTTATAACAAGAGGGGAAAGAAAGATAGAACCTTAAAAACGAAATGCTTCCCCCTTTTTTTTTTTGTTCATGAACACACACACACACACGGAGTCACGGACACGGGTTAATCCATTCTTTTTCTTGTAGTTAGTTGTAGGAAAGAATAACGATGTAAAAAATTAAAGAAAAAATAATAATGTCATTATGATTTCTATCTTTTCATTCTGGTGCCAACTGGGTGGTGGGTTGGGTGTTTGGCGAGTAGTTGGAGCGGAGAAAGAATTGGGATTCATTCCCGCCTTCACCCGGGTCGGAGCTTGGAGCTCGGAGGGTTGTCAGTTGTGTTCTACAGTTCTGTGTGGGCATGGGAGATGGACTACCCCCGTTGCCGTTAAAAGCCCGAAAAGGCATAATACCTGAGAAGCTCATAATTAATCGAACAATCAAATCGTATTAAAATTTACGGAGGATTGTGATTGGTCAAAAGTCCTTTTGTATTTTTTTGTAACCAATCAAAACTCCTTACTCCTTTAATCGTTATATACTTATATATTTGACTTAAGCCGTACCGGGGGGTTTATTTATTTATTGATATAATACTACCTACGGGAACAGGGGTAGGGTAAATTGCCTTTCCGTAATTGTTGATGCCATTATCTCAATATTTTTAAACATCAAGAATGCCCTTAGATGTAAACATGAATTTTATAATGACCAATACCCGTAGAAAGAGAAATCTATATATTGCTTGAATAGTTGGTCAACCTCCAAATATACACAATTTGCAGAACTGGGGTGGATACCCACCCACTTCTTTACCCCTCCCCCCCTCAAAAAAAAACAAAACAGGCTTAAGTTTCATGCCTGAATCATGAATCCAAGCCCAAAACGGGATGGGCCTATATTTTATAATAAATTATACGTATCTTATTATAATATTTATATATAACATATTATATTAATATATATATATATATATATATAACTAAACATGGCCAAATCATTTGTACCCCTGTCGGACATCATAAAAACCAAAATCTCCTAGTTGAAATATTGAATAACAAAATTACATTTGGGGATGTAAAACTATTCCAGGGAAGCACGAATCTAAGCTGCTACTACAACCGACGCTGTTGGGGAGAGAAAACCATATCCATATTCCTTTGCGATAAGAGAAGTAGACCAATATCTCAAACTCACCCTCATTCGTGATTATTCTGTGTGGAAAAATTAGGGGTGAACAAATGATTCGATTCTACTCAATCTACTATCAAGTAGGGTCCCATTCCAAATTCTTGGAATCAAACTCCACCCAATTTAGTTCTAGGGTCTAGGGGCTTATTCTATCGAATGATGTGGCAATTGACCTTTGTTGACATCAATGGAACTAATCATTAAGGGTGGATTTGAGCTGAATATCTAACTATCTCAGCTTACCAAGAAAACAAATGAGGCTTGAGTTCAGGTCTTAGAACAGTGTGAGATAGAAACACGAGCTTGAATTTGGCAGTGAGCCAAGCTTCATGTAAAAAATTAGGGTAAATTTCAAAACCCCCTTTTACTTTGCCACAAATGACAAAAAGCATTACATTATCAAAATACCCTTCTTAACTTTCCTTATTTTCTTTTTCCTTTCCCTTTTCTCTTAAACCCTAATTGACCGAAAAATACCTCATTTTCTTCAAATCAAACTAGTTAAAAAATAACAAGTTTCTTTAAATTCTTTCTTCATTCCAATAAACCAAGAAAAACCAAAGGAAACCATAAATTTATATCTACCACAAAGAAAGTTCTACCATTTCATATGATTACTAAATCCAGCAAGGAATCTTCAAGGATCTATTAGAGCAACCAAGAGCACTTCAATATTGTATTTAGAAAACTAACCGAATCATAAATTGTTCAGATAAATAAGAAATTGCTAGTTTGGGGATTTAAATATTTTTAAATGGTTGGATGATGATCTTTTTTGAAATTAACTTGCATATACCCAAAAAATTATTTCTGATTATACATAAAAAAAATTTAAAAGTATACATATAAAAATTAATAATATTATATATAATATAAGCTGGTTAGGCTTGCTAGCTTTACAAGCCAAGCTTCATTGGGCTTGGTTCAATTAACAGACAAGCCTATATATTGGGCTCGAGTTCAGCTTGAAGCTCAATTTAGTTTGTGCCAAATCGAGACTTTCATGAGCCAAGCTTGAATAGCTAATTAAAAGCTTGGCTCATGTCCATTTCTACAAGTCATGAAACCAAATTTGCTTTAAAATAAATCACAAAAATACTTTTGAGGATGTAAAGATTTGAGACCAAATACTTGTGTTTACGAAGAACATGGCCTCACTTGACCATTAAGCCTCTTAAGTGCATTAATAATTTTATTAAATTTAATATTTGAATGTATATAATATGTAAAACGGTAATAATGGGAAATTTTAAATTATATCGATAAGTTGTAAACTATATCATCATCATCATCATCTTTATTATTATTATTATTATTGAAAATCAAGTTTAAACATTTTATGATTGTGATTTCTAATCAATAATATATATTGATAGTAGCATTATCAAAAATACAATTTGTGATTATGGAATTATGTTAAATTTATAATTCTTAACGTTGAAAAAAAAACATAACTTATAGTATTATATTAAACTCAACATGTATAGCTATCTATTTTAATTGCTTATATTAGGGTTTTTTTTTCTATAAGTGGGTAAAAAAAAGAATAAGCTCTATAGGTAGACTCTAGAATTGACATTGGAATTGCCAAGGCGGGAACGACTGTGAAACTGCTCTTGACAGAGTGGGTTCTATTTTCAAGAACTTGAGATTGACCCTATAAGATAAATTCCTGGAACCAAATCAAATCCACCCATGCTCACCCATATAGCAAAGATGCATTCTAAAAAATCTTGAAATTGATGATCTATTCTCCCTTAGAAATTTGTATTGGTTTCCCTATTTATTATTTTTCCCAATTTTACAAACTGATAAAGATTTATAAGATAAATTGAACAATAAAAACCTCAAATATAAACTTACATTAGAAGTGGTAATAAATTACCAATTAGCTGGCATTCCCCTGGCATATTCAGCTCTAGCCCCCCCTCCTGACCCTCCATTGTTCACTTTGCAATTTCCTAAGTGGATAGACAAAAGAGGAGATGCACTAGTTATAAGAGAAGGGAGAAATAAAAAAAAAAAAAAAACGGGGGGAATTGGAGTATTGTGTTTTGTCATTTCAAAATTGATCAGGTTGCTGCTGCAAACTCGGTTTGAATGAGAAGATTTGGGTGGAATATACTCAACTGACACGTGCAGAATGATAATAAGAATCTTGCTGCATTAAACTATCAACATACTTGTTCTATTTTTTTTTTTTTTTTGTGTCGATAAATTATATAAGTAGCAGTTTGTTATAGTACAGTTTTATCTTATTCACTTGAAAAATCATGGGTGTCCGCGGAATCATGTGGTTGGTAGGTTAAGTCCAGACCCCGGCTGTTAAAGCTGGTGGCGCTTGGCTGCATTCAGTTTATGTGCTTGTTTTATCTAAGGGAATGTTGATTGATTGTTGACCACCCACTCAATTCACTCTATTCTGGATTTTATGCAAATTAATTACTAATTAATATATACAACATTCTGACTCAGACCGTAATCTGGTAAGAGATCAGATTACGTTTTGGCCTCATTCGTTTTAATTTATCTCGGTAACTGAGTTTATCATAGGAAATGTTTTTGGGCAAAAATTATTCGAGTAATATAATTTTGGTGTTCGTATTTGTGCACGTTTTCACCCGGATAAAGGTAGATAGGCTAAAGGGATTACCCAGGAAAATGCAGGGAAAAGAAGAAAAAGTAGGGAAATTTTTACAAACTTTGTATAGGTTTTTCTGTTTTTCTTTTCCTTTTTTTACATTTTCCTTTAAATCAAACATAATCTTAAGAAGTGTTTTTTCATTGACTAAGAATTTCATTTTTTTTTCAAATTTATGTGGAAATCGGAGAAAGTTTATTAAGTGATACCCATCTTCCTGGGTGGATAAATAGCTCTTCCACCTAGAGGGAAAGTTGCTAATACTTTAATGGGACAAAAATACCCTTTTTAATAATGAATTTTTATGGCTAAAAGGGTTATTTTCTTATTTACATAAAAAATAAAATGACACAGATAAATATACTTACCTGGATAAGTGTTTTCCAAGAAAAACTTATCCAAATTAGTAATTTACTGAAAAAAGAACAAAACCTTGATATTAAATTGAATATATCAATATAAAAATACGAAGATTGTGGTCAATTATCCGATTAACTGATTTATATTCTATGAAATAGTGACAAATAAACGAATCCTATATAACTTTCACGTTGCATGCAGTCACCACTCACCAATAGGAGAACTGAACTACTCGAGGAGAATAAAAGGCTGGGTGTGGACTGGTTAGGCTTGCACCAATTTACAGAATGATGCCAACTTCTGCTTCTAATTTATTATAAATGCAAATCTAGTAATATACCTTTTTCATGCAACACATACATAATAATAACGTATATATATAAAATACAAAATAGAAAGGCTATGATAAACGTCACCTCAGCATTTGCACGATTAAGGTTTATTAGAATTTAAATGCATGTTTGGTGTGATCGTTTATTAGATTTCCATGAAACGTACATATGACGTGGCACTAACGTGGACGGTGATGTGGCGATTGAGGGAGATAGAACTGGTGCTTCGTGGATCATTGAAATTTGACAAAAACACTGTCCAAACTCTAACCACCGTGTGAGAGAGACTTTCGCAAGGATAGCCATAGAGAGGGACTTGCACAGGGAGACTGCTTCTCACGCTGACCAGAGGGTGTGACACCGGTAAGTTTGTCATCGACAGCGTCAAATCCCTCGATCCAGCAAGGTGTTGCTGTTGCGTACGTCGGGAAGGTGCTTCGTTGCTGTTTATTTTCCAACCTGAACGGTATGCCATACCTACCCCTTTGGTCGATATTTGTTTGCTCGTATTTCATGATTCCCTCGTATCATGGGAGTTTGGATGTTTGAACAGATTATTAATCTCTTGTTTGGTATTTCAATCGATGCATCAGTTTGTTTTTGATAGAGTAGCTATGTTTTCTTTTATTTTGAGACAAATGTTCTTGATTATTTTAAGAGAGTAGCTACAATTTGTGAAGTTGATATTTTTTAATTCATTGTTATCATATGATCCATTTTCTGGTAAAAATAGAGTTGGAAAAGATGGAAAATTATTTAGGCTCAATTTGGAAGGGGTACAAATACAAATATACAAGCTTTTGCACTCTGCATTTTTGTATTTATATTCCTTCCAAATTGAGCACCTGCTAGAGATAATAGAGTGGTATAGTTTGAATATGTAAAATAAATCCCTATAAACGCATCAACAAGGAGTTATTTGGTGCAAGTTGAAGGTTCTCAAAGAACAAAGATAAAGCCAAAAGAATCTTGGCTTTGGGTGTTAAAGTTTATTATTTTGTTGTTATTCAGCAGAATAAATTTGTAATTCTATTTTTTAGGAAGTTAGGTAGTGTTTATCAATTCTTTAGAAAAAAATTCATCAGATTAGGAGTTGTTAGTCCTGGGTTAGTTGCTGCCTATTTTTCATTAATAAAATTATGCTCTCCAGTCAATATATTAGCTTTGCCCTATACGTGAGTTCAAAACAGCTTTAAGCACCAACATTTGGTATCAGAGCCAATAAGGGTTTTGCCTTATGCGAGTCAAATGTATGCCAATTTGTGGAAGCTACACAATTTTGATTTTTAGTCAATCTACAAATTTTGAAAGTTTGGTACTTGTTGAATTAAGGGTAATTTGGACCATTGGCCCATATAGATTCCTTATACCTGTCATTTTGGCCATTGGATGTGATTTTCATCCAAAATCAACCGTTGGATCTCAAAATATGCCAACAAGGGTAGTTTCGACCATTGGATCGATTCAATGGCACTCAAATATCAAGGAAATGTGTCGCACCAAATCACCCATATGACAACTTCTTGAAGCGCCCTTCCAAACAGCACAAGATAGTAAACACTTCTCATTGCTGAGTTGGCAAGTGCCTTTAAACGCTATTTCTTGAAACGCCCACAAATTAGCCCAACCAAACAGCCAAAATAGAAAACATTTAAAGTGATGTTTATTAGATAAACACTTATCTAATAAACACCCCCTAAGAAACTCGATCGGAATAACATATACAAAGAGTTAGGGCTGTTTACGAATCGGGTTGGGTTGGTTTACTGGGGTTTTCCCAATCGACCCGACCTGGTCGGTTTACCTAAGGTGGAAACCGAAACCGATCCACTGATAGGCAAAACCGACCTGTTCGGTTTGAGTCGGGTTGGGTCGGCTTTTGGTTTTGCTCCTATACAAAAAGGAAAGAGAAGCCTAGAACTAGAAGGAAATTTATTTGACCATCATTTCAGCCATCTGAACTCAATTCAGAGTCCAAAATAAATCTTCATGTAAATTTGAATTAGTTGTTGTTCAAGAGTCCAAGATAAAACTGAATTCAATTCAAGTAAAGAATAAAATCAATAAATTCTTCATGTAAAAACAAGTGTCAAATAAGAAAAAAGTTATCAATAAAATAGAAAGTCAAACTGTTCTATAGAAAGAAGCCTGAAATATTTATATTTCAATAAACTTTTTAAGTTCTAATCTAAGTAAAAAAGGACACCTAATTCTAATTGTAATTGCCTAATTAGTTGCCTATTTGGTGTAAAAGACTATAGAAACTAGGATAGATACAATTTAGTTAAGTAGGAATTAGAACTCTAGAATACTAGTTAAGTAGGAACTAGGTAGAAGACTAATTGATTCGGTTCGGTTCAGGTCGGTTTTGGTTTTCACACAAGAAAACCGAAACTGACCCGATATATCGGTCTATGAATTTTCCCACCCGAAACCGACCGGTGCTAATGAAAACCCGGCCGACTCGGGTTGGGTCGGGTTGGCCCTTCTTATGAATAGCCTACAAAGATTTACACTCTGCATATTTGGTACTCGCCTAACACTTGGGAGTAGGTGGCTCTTCGTGTGAAAGTGGGTCTAGCTGGTCAGTCCAACTAGAATTAGGACAATATTGTCATATACTGAAAGCTCATTTCCAATCCTCAATTGGCCAATTGTTACACACCACATAAGCACGACTTGTGGGAGCCGTTTATCGAAGTTGGCATTGCCCACATATGGTGATTGCCCCAATCATGGTTTTCAAAATTGGATCGGACTGGACGGTCAAACCGGAAAAACCGGGAATCAATCACCTAATCGGTTCTATTTTCCTCAAAACCATTGATTTTGGTTAGCAAACCGCTAAACCGACTAGTTAATCGTTTGAACGGTTTTGACCATTTTTCAATTTTTTTATTTTTTTGTCAGAACGGGCTAGCCATTCAGATCAAGTGGTAGAACCGTTCAAACCGGTAATCGAACTCCTAACCGGTTCAATCACCATTTCTTTTTTAAAAACCATAACCCCAATAATATGACCACAACTGTTTCAAAAATCGGAAAAATACACTACACTTTACTGCAAAATTCTGAATTCCATTATAGACTTATAATAATTCAAAATATCCAACACACCACTCTAAACACAAATATCCACCCTTGTATTAACATCAGTTCTGAACTGGCACCTACCCCAACTGTTGTGTTGGATAGGGCTAAGACCTAATAACTCTGACGGTGGGCTGAAACAGTCATTCTCTCTTCGAAAATCGCCGTTCAATTGTAAAAAACAAAAAATTGTTTCCGAAGTCTCCCGCCTTCGCTGCCAGTTTCACGAATTCTGTCAAACTTCGAACCTCGAAGTTAACGTTAAGAGTCAAATGGACAGAAAAGCCCTCACCTCATGTTCTCCTTCACACATGCAAAGATTCTCATAACATACGATAAAGAGAAGCCCAAAAAAAAAAGGGTATCAAATAGTCAGGTACAGATTGTACTGGAGCACGCGCATGTCGTCCCCACCAATTCATCCTACCGTTCATGTCGTCCCCACCATGGCGTCACTTTCACTGAGAATTATACATTTGTCATTGCGGGTATTCAATCCAACTACTTCCTCCAAGTGGGACCACCATCTTTTATCCACCTTCCATTACATCCATAACAATAATAAGGTGGGCCCGGGCCCTATAGTCCTTCGCTACAGCCTACAGTTTGCCTTATTGCATTCCAGTTTTTTAAGTTGGTCCTTGTAATGATCTCTGTATTAATTTTTATTAACTTTCATTAAATCTTATTATTGATCAGAGTATAAAACATAATTTAAATTATACATTTTTTTCTCGTTCAATTTGGTGTTAATTTCTATTTTTCTTAGAGTTCTATAATAATTAATCATAGTAAAGAAAATTTATTTTTATTAATATAAATAAAACACAAAGTTAAAACTAACTCAGAAATGATAATAGAAATACAAACGTGCCATCCAATTTGATGTTATAAATAAATGATAATAAAAATTAAAATAGATGAAAACACACAAATGTATAAAAAATACAAAAAAATATATAAAGAACATTTGGACACATATCTAATATCATATATTTCATCATATTATACAAAAATATAAGTGTGACAAATAAGAATAACTTTTATAAAGATAAAAACAAAAAAAAATAAAAAACTTTGAAAATATATTATTTACTATCATCATCACCATCATAAAAAAAATTGATACATACAAAGCACGTGCACACTTATTAGTCAATATTAAATGTGTTTATGTTTTGTACTTGATAATAATAATAATAATAATAAATAAATAAATAAATAAAATTTATATTAATGATAAATACTTTAAATATAAGATTTAATAAGATAAAATACTAATTTATACCTTAAATATAAAATTGAATGAGAGAAAATTAAATGAAATGAAAAATATTAACTCAAAATTATATTTTCATCACTTACAGATAGAACAGGATTCAATTAAAATTAGAAAATAATTTAATAAAAAATTTCACACCCTCGTTATGAGTATTTGTTTTTATCTTTCTACCTAATAAACGTTACATTTCCTTTTCCCTTCCCATAGATTTTGAATTTGTATGTTTATTAGCCAACTACATCAGGTGAAAAGACAAAATTACTCCCCAGAAAAAGTCAATTTTGAAGATATTTTTGTCCTTTTAGGCATTGTACATCTTGCCACATTAATAGCGGAGTGCTACCCACTCAATAAAAATTTGGACGCGACCAGAGGCCAAAGCCCCAAACCACGCAGCCCTTTCACAAACAGACTGCTTACAATGTGGATGTGGGCCTCCACTAAGCTGGTGTATTATGGTCGACATGGGGGCCCAGATAATGGGGAACAAAAGATCAGCTCATCTGACTCGATAGATTTTTATCGTGTTGTTTTCTACTTTTCACGAAGGGAAAGTCTCGTGTCTTTTTATGATTTTCAAAATAGTTAGGGTACTTGCATGTAATATTTCATCAAACCAGGGGTATTAACTAACATCTTTCCACGCGAATCGAGCGGGATTAGTCCTTGGTTCCGTTGGTCTGTTTTTTTTTTGAATTTCAAAAATCAAACGGCTTTCTCGAGATGTCGAGAGATCTAAGGACACAAAACTGGACGGCAGTCTTTCGGTACTCTTTCCTTTCCCTCGCCATTACTGGTTTCTGTGTTCTCTCCGTTTTTTCTCTCGCTGATACAACGTTTTCGGGTCTTGCGGAGGAGAAACAAAAGCTTTATTTCTTCGAGAAGTAGGTTGTTGAGGTTTTAGAAGCTCTCTTCTTCTCGAACAAGAGATTTTCATTGATGGGTGCTTCAGGAAAATGGCTGAAAACTTTTATGGGTCTGAAAAAACCGGAGAAGGACGAACATGTAATCTAAACTCCTCACCATCTCTCTGGTTTCTGTCATTTGCATTTTGTTTGTGTGGCTTTTTCTGCTTATTTCTTACCTTTCGGTTTCTGGGTTTCATGATTCCTGCAGGAGAAAGTCGGCAGTAAGAGCCGGAAGTGGAAGTTGTGGAGGAGTTCTTTTGGTGACTCCGGATCTTCGTGGAAGGGTTTCAAAGGAGGGTCAAGAGCGGCATCGGAGGCTTCTGATTCTTCGTCAGTAGCTGATGCGTTTAGCATTGCAGTTGCCACTATTGTTAGAGCTCCACCTAAAGATTTCAGGGTAGTGAGGCAAGAATGGGCTGCAATACGGATCCAGACTGCGTTTCGTGGTTTTCTGGTAAACGGATTTGTTCCGTTTTACAGTTTCTCATTCATATTTTACTTTGGTTGAATTGAGTGAATCGTTGGATGCACGAATATATTAATGGGGAGAAAAGTGCGCCAAAGTCTATGCGCAATATCCTGAACTATCCAGTCAATGGCTTATTAATCATATATGGACTTCTTCCCAGCTGATATCCCTAGCCTTCCGTTGGTCGTACTGGTTTTATGTCTGTACTGGAAGGTAATCCTTAGCCTGATTTCTACGGTGGTAGCTCACTGTCATCTCCACTTCCCCGGAGGTTGCTTGTCAAAGCGCTCAGATTTCCTGTTGACGGGTTCTATCATTAATCGGCCAGTTACTTTGTAATCCAGGTCCCAGGATGTGTCAATTTAATGCATTCTCTCCTGAACCCCGAGCTCAGACCTTTGTTCACACTCCTTACCATTCCAAGTTTTCTGGTCATAAAGAAAAAAGAGCCTAACTCCTTAAATTTTAGTTTCAAAGCGTAAAGACTAGGAATTGGTAAAAAATTTGATGAACTTGTCGATTTATTAAGGTGACTTAATCCTTGATTCGGTGGCGTTCACTGTTCATTTCATCCAATTCTATTTTGTTCATTTTTTTCTTGTATATTTTCAAAAAGAAGCAGGCTAATTTAACAGCATAGCATTTAGTCTTTCTGGAAATGCAATAATTCTTCTTGGGATCCTCTTTTACATGGCGGATGTGGGATGGTTACAGGCAAGGAGGGCATTAAGGGCCTTGAAGGGTGTGGTGAGACTTCAGGCTCTTGTTCGTGGCCGGCAGGTGAGGAAGCAGGCCGCTGTGACACTGAGGTGCATGCAGGCTCTCGTTCGTGTTCAGGCGCGTGTAAGGGCTCGTCGTGTGCGTATGTCAATCGAGGGGCAGGCTGTACAGATGCTACTTAACGAACGTCGAAGTAAGGCAGATTTGTTGAAACAGGCTGAGGTTTGTCAATCTCTCCATTGACTGCATCATATTCTTTCAACCACTCATTTTTCTTTCATTCATTCATCTTTTCTTTTATATTAATCGGCATTTGAATTTTATCTTCAACTTAAACAAACTATTTCTCCCTTGGTTCTTTTCTACATTATTCAGGAAGGATGGTGTGATAGTCAAGGAACACTGGAAGAAATTAGATCAAAGCTGCAAATGAGGCAAGAAGGGGCCATAAAGAGAGAAAGAGCAATTGCTTATTCTCTCTCTCAACAGGTAATTAGTGGAGAGTCCGAAAAGCTAAGACCTTTATTTAAAAAAAAAATTGTTTTGATAATGCATTTGCTCTTGGTTACAGCAATGGAGATCAAACTCGAATCCAAACACGAAGGCCAATGGGTCATTGACTAATCTAAAGCATCACGAGGTAGATAAGAGCAGTTGGGGATGGAGCTGGCTAGAGCGATGGATGGCAGCAAAGCCATGGGAGAATAGATTGATGGAGCAGACACATGTTGATTCATCAGAGATGACGCCTTCTTCTAAAAACTGTGATGATTTAGTTGGGGCGCGCTCAAAATCTTCCGAACCAGGTTCTGTGAAAGTCAGGAAGAACAATGTTACCACCAGGATTTCTGCTGGACCTCCTCTAATTGGGCATGCTACACGTTCCTCGTCTGGCCCAAGTTCTGAATTTTTGTACGATCAGAGCTCACCATCCTCTTCTTCAATTTGCACATCTACAACTCCGGTGTCTGGAAACACCCATTTGGCATCGGGGAGAATTGAGGAGAGTAACAATAGTAGACCCAGTTACATGAACCTCACAGAGTCTACTAAGGCTAAGCAGAGGACAAGCAACCATTCTCATCATAGAGTTCAAAGGCAATCCATGGATGATTTTCAGTTTAGCAAGAAGTCAGCAGCATTTTCCAATGGGGATACGAGAAGCAGTACTGGTTCTGATCCTTATTCGATTAATTTCTCCAAGCCCATTTGCCTGCCAACACGATTGGATAACAACTCAATGAGCGTGAGGGAGTAGAAATGTATGTTGCTAAGAATCATGGTTTTATTGTTTATGCTCTTGCCTTTGGAGTCCAACATCTTGTTGTCCTGTGAGTGTGAAATCGCTGTTCATGTTGCAAGGAAGGATGCGCAGAACCAAATCAGGGATTGAGAAGGCGCTGAGATTTCTTCTTTGGCAGTTTGGCGTGTAATGTATATGCTTTCTAGCGAGAAATTGTTGTAGATTGAGACGATGCGTTTTTATATTTGTTTTGGGTCGGTTGATTTTTTTCTTTTTTTTTTCAATGAGAGTGATGCTTCTGGTGGTATTGTGATCTTTTTTAATTAACGCTTTTTATTTGCAAAATGATGCTTCTGGTGGTGTTTGGTGTTTGGGTTACTCAGTTGATGGAATGTAACTAAGCTTGTTTTATTGGTCAATGGTTACTTCTATTCAATGGGCCTAGATGAAGATTCTGCTGACAAATCCCAACTCAAGCTCTGTTAATCTCCTTTTACATTATATTTGAAGATAGAAACAAGTCTAGTGATCTGATAGACATTGATTTAATTAACTAGATGGATGCAAGGTCGTTTAATGACTCTGAGCTTTACACCATGCTTGAAGTTGAGAACAATTCCGTAATCAAGGGCCAAAGGTTTCTCCATGTTAGGGGAATGGCGAAACACGTATCGGCGATAGAGGTGAATCAGTGAGAGCTTTATCTCTTGTATCGCGAACTTCTTCCCAATGCAGGCTCGAGGTCCAATCCCAAAGGGGATGTGTGCATATGGATGTCTTTGCTTTTCTTCATCACAATCAGGATCAAATCTCTCGGGACAAAACTTTTCTGGCTCTGGGAAATGTTTTGGGTCTTTGGCTATTGCCCCAGGAGCTAACCAGACCCATGTGCCCTACACACATAATCAAACAAATATAATTCGTGTTGTGCAAAGCTTTGCTGAGAAAGAAGATCTGCATTATCATACCATCACATCTACTACCTTTGGGAGATGGTATCCTCCTAACTCTATTTCTCTTGATGCTTCCCTTGCAACTAAGGGCGACACAGTGTAGAATCTCATTGCTTCTTTTATTACCTGTGGAACAAACAATGGGAGATTGGGTTTGAATTTTAAGGAGCTGGTTAAATTAGTTCAGGGTTATAGATCTTAAATGACAGTCTTTACCTGATCAAGGTAAGGAAACTTGTGCTGAAGATCATGAGAAGTAGGTGTTACATCATGTGGGCCAAACCCATCAATCTCTCTGAATAATTTCTTCTCAACCTCTGGGTGTTCAGCGACCAGATAAAGGATTGAAGACAGGGTAAAGGATGTTGTGGCCGATCCAGCGAGCAGATGCTCATAAGCAAGTGCACTGATGTAGTCCGAGGTGAAGGCATTCTTTGGTACTGTCTCCGACTCCCTAGCTCTCAATATGAGCGATAAGAAATCCTTGGAGCCAGGCTCCTTCTCCTTCATTCTCTTTGCCACAATCCCATCGAGCCGTCGGCTCAACTTTTGGTTGGTTTGATCAACCTTCCAATCAGTTGTCCCCGGTATTCTCCTTAGGATTTGCCTGAAAGGCTCCTGAAGGATTGGAACCAACAGACCCAGTACGATTGAAAAGGAACCTGAAAGGTCCATTTTGAGAGCTGTGGTGGAGTAGATGTGTTGTTTGACGAAGTCCGAGACTTGATCATCACTGTGACCACCTTCATGAACGCTGCCAGCTGCTGACCGTGGTCTGGAGAGGCCAAAGTCGAAACCAAAAGCGGCTTTTCCGATGACATCAGTGGCCAGTTGAAGTGAAAGGTTAGAGAAAGTGATATCTTCCTCTTCAGATGAGGGGAGGCTTAGAGTAGCAGAGTCTATCACTGTTTGCATAGAGGGCAGCAAGTAGGACAGGTGGGAGGGTTGGTAGACAGATATTATGGAATTTCGCATGATGGACCATCTAGTGTCTCTGCAAGTGTAGTTCTATCTACTTGTGAGAATTAGTCATGGTAGCCAGTAGTCCAATGTTGTATTCACAGTTAATTTCGTTACAGCAGTTTCTATATAGAAAGAAAAAAGTTAACCAGTGCCCAATCCTAGCTGCAGGATTGGGCAGATGTTGAGACTAATTAACCAGTCAAGAGAAGTTATATCAAAGCATACATCACAGTACCTGGTAAAGAAGAGGCCCTTTTGATGAAGTGGGGAGGCTGAGATAGGGGAAGGTATGCTTCGGTTGCTGACATCCTTGAATTTCTTTATTCCAACCTCCCTACACAGTTCTGGGTCCGCTACAATCACAATGGGCTGCCTACCCATGTGGAACCTGCTCCATCCACATACCACAGATGGTAATCAATGGCGGAAGGCAAGTTAGAAAGAAAGGGAGAGGAAACAAGGACAACCCTGGGAAACGTAAACGTACCTGAAGATGGGACCATGGCGTTTGGCGAGGACACTGAAAACATCTGGGCCGTACTTGGCGAGCAGAGGAAGGTGTCCCACCAGAGGAACGGTGGGAGGGCCGGGTAGCCTTCTCACCCCCCAGTAGGGTGTGTACAAGTAGAGCAAAGCACCAGCAAGCAACGCAAGCATGGTGAGGATCAACGGTGAAATGGGCGGCAACGTTGTTAAAGGTATCGCTGCCCCGATCACCGGTTGAAGAGTATTTTCTGAGAAGGCCATTGAGACTTCTCTGAGAAAGAGAGAGAGAGAGAGAGAGAGAGAGGGTTTTAGTTATTGCAATGGTGGTTAATTGCATTTAAGGGAAAGCGGAAATGGTGGAATAGAGGGTGGACATCACTAGGGAACAGGAATGTTACAGTGATCACCATGATGTTAATTGCATTTAAGGGATGTTACAGTGATCACCATGATGTTACAGTCATAGACACTTGGTCTTTGTCGATGGGAATCATGGAAAGAAGCATCTTTTTTGTTTTCCTTGCACTTGATGATGAAAACTATAGAAAAATAGGCAAATAAGCTAGGCTTCATGTATATTATGGAAGGGGTATTTCAGTCTTGATCTCCTACTAACTCCCCTCTCTACTAACCCAATAAAATGATTCCAGCTGTTTTAATCATGTTAGTGGAGTCCGACTTTAGTGTAACAACTAACCAAGAGCTTAACCCCTCCGTTAAATACTCTTTTTAAAATATATCAATTCTTCAAACATTAATTAAAACTTTCTTAAAAAATAGAGATTTCATTTAAGCCTAATTTCTTCTTTCCCCATTCTCTTTCTTCTTCGTCTCTTCTCAGAAATCTTTTGTTCAGTGCTTGATCGTTAATATACAAAAAGTCCCTTTCAATATACAAATTCTCTCGTGCTACCTATCAATATTTGAATCTTCTGTTTCAGTTGTTTGCCCTGCCTCTAGAAGCTATCTGCTTGAAAATGAAGGTTTTCTATTTTACTACAAGTAACTTAAATTTTTCCCACAATCCAAAAACCATCTCAATATTGTTCATAAAAACATAAAAGTCATACTCTTCCCAACATCTTCGACGACAACAAGAACAAAAGAAAATCCAATGTGTAGGAGGAAATTGAATGTGTACAGCGTCCTTTGCAGAAGAACTCAGTTTGATCTTTATATGTTTTAAACCCACAACTTAAAAGCTGAGACAGTTAACAATTATTCATTGATCCTTGGAGAAATCGAAAACAAGCTTTCATTGAACCAAACAACGATCACGTTTCAATGAATATTATAAGTGGAAAAGAAAGCATGGGGAATTTGTGTATAATTAAAATAGATATTTTATTTTTATTTTTTTTCTAAGCCTAGGAAGGCAAATTCATGCATGGCAAAAGAGTTAGAGATCACCCAAGATTTTATTTTTATTTTTAGAAATATTTAATTAATGCATAAAGAATAGATGTTTCTTTAAAAGAGTTTCTAATGGAGGGATTAAGGTGTTTGGTGAATCGTTACAGCAGGTAGGATTTAGGGACAGCTGGAATCATTTTATTGGGTTAGTAGAGAGGGGAGTATAGAGAAGTTAGTAGGGGTAGGATTTAGGGACAGCTGGAATCATTTTATTGGCTTGTTGAAGGTGTCAATTGCTAAGATCTGGGGGACATTTATGGGTTTGGGGGATGGGTTACCCCCATTGTGTAGCCCCATAGAACCAAGAAAAAGGGCTGTTTGCCTGATTAGCAGGAATAAAGGGGCTGGGACTGGGAGTCTAAATAAAATGGTTGTGGGCGGGTTTGTTGTCCACATACAGTTCGGAGGATAGCATTATCACTGCTGAGTGCTGAAGACAATTAGAAGCTTGATTCCAGTGTGACATAATTAGATGGGCTATGATCAATTGACCATTGGTCTAGAGCTAGAGAGAGGAGACTAGAGGTAGTCCGGCCTGAAATGGGGTTTCTTGTCTTTGCCCATGGAAATCTGAAAACTGGGTTTGTCTGGGACTTAACTGCTAACTTCTCACACTAAGCATGGCTTACCTTAATTAGGCCTACTGGCCCAGCACCGGCCCGACCCTGAAATGAACACCCATAGGAGGACTTAAATCTCAAGAGGAATTGGCCCTTCACACTGGAAGAATCAAGGTGACTCTATTATCATGATGAGAAGAATTATTCCATCATACAATAGAGTATATTCACTTTTCCCTTCTTTGTCAAAGAAACGAGCTGATGTCTTTAAAAAAGCACAATAACTAATCTTAAACGCATGATGTTGTTCTTTGATTCCCTTATAGCTTTGTGTTAAGTCAGAATCACTTCATTGTTCAACAACCAAGTACTCACTGTCAGTTAGGGGTGAAACTTGGGTTGACCCTCACAATCCAACCAATAAAAAAAAAAAAAAAAACTTTGGATTTGGGCGGAGGTTAGAATGAGGGTTAAGATTTTAACATTATGGGGTGGGTCAGGGTTGACCTTGCCCTTAACCAATCCAGCCCGAACCACAGTGTTAGCTGGGTGAACCCTCTTGTTGAGTTATTTGGCATCCCATTGGAGTCCATTTTTCCATGTTAGAATAATTCCATTACTGGGATTTGATACATGAATCTGAATCTGAATTTACACTCAAAAGTAGTATTATTGAATACAGGATTTAACTAGCTTTTCACACCAAGTGTTGTCTGTCAATGCATGTATCTACATAGAATGAAAGGACGGCCTATCTCTATGATCAGACCAGAGCACTAACACTGAAAACATAGTGCTAATCCAAAAGTGTGCTCTATGAAATACCGTGAGATAAAAAAATTGATTTTAAGTTATTAATAAATTCCACTTTTGCCCAAATTCTAGGGAATTGATTTGATACTTTCCTCAGGGAATTTCTTACAAAGGCCTGTAGAATTGTCCCACACCCTAATTGCTATGTCCTCTCCGCCTCTTCAACTCTTGTTTATCAGTTTTTTTTTTCTTTTTTGGTCAGCAAAATTGTTTCTTAATCAGTTATCCTGCAACATAAACAAGCAACAACGACAAGAAAGAAAATAGAACTCAATTTAGGCATTAAAGTTGAACAAAAGGAAATTCTTTATTTACGATTGAGAACTGACCCAAAGGAAATTCTTTATTTAAGGACTTTCTTTTTCTAATTTGAATGAGACAGAACGGGGTAGCTACAATTTAGTTTAGGCAATGGATGAACTCTTGTCTAGAATTAAAGTCGGGCCCCAATTATAGTACTGAGAAAATAGGGCCGTGTCTGGCCCTTACTGTTTATAACATCCAACCAATGGAGTATTGATACTTTGATCATTGCTTGGGATGTTTGAAAGTTGAAACTGTATTCTTCATCAGAATAAATATTACCTCTGAACTATCAAACACATGGCATGTTTGGCTGAACTGACAGCCTTGCCTTCAACTCGGAGAATATCATCTTGCCGTTGTCTCAAAAGATAAGAGTCACCTCAGTGACATATAAGACCACCTTGGACCTCTCAACTCAACTCGTACGTATGAACTTTACCGACCTCTGAGAAGACCTCCTTACTGAGACAGCTCCCACTTCCTAGCAAGTGGGAGCTCCCTTGCAGGCGAGTTCCACACTCCAACACTTGTCTATCAAGTGATCACCAAGTGGCACATGCAACAAGACCATCAACACGTAAGGTAAACCTGCCAGGTAGCCGATCTCGGGCCCATTTCATACATTAAAGACATGAACAGATCACCACAACATGTCATAACTATGCACCAAGTGACTAATGCATGTTATAGGTGGCTAAACAAGTAGTCCTGATTAGGTTTCTAGTGCCCGGGTTGGATCTTAGGTGTCTTGACCGGATACCAGTTGGCCTGAGTTGGTCCACAGATGTCCGAACTGAGCACTATGTGGCTGAGCTCGAATAACAGGTGTCTTAACAAAGCCCCATGTGTCTTATCCGAGCTCTACCAAGGCAAAGCAAGATCCAGGTGTATCAAGACTCAAGCTACAATAGGCGTCCTATGTTTGTTTGACACATACACACTCTAACAGGTATCCCGAACCCTATTTAAGGGGCAGGTTAACATTCATTTCATACTTTATGACTCACTGAATTCTCAACCACCCTCTGGATAAATCGGTTTTCTAACTTGACCGTCAGAGCTACAAGCCAAGGATATCACCCCAAGCCCTCTAACCTCGTTTCCTCCTTACAAGATCCATCTGAGCTCTTCCAAAGACTTGAACACTTTTCGATGGCATCAATTCTTATCATGATATTTGATGCCAAAGGGATAATGTGGGCTTGGGCCATGGTAAAATTGAAGGAATAACAAGAACAATAAAACAATTTTCCAAAATTATTGCATTGTTACTAAAAAAGTGGAACAATTTATCTCTTCTATTTAAGACCTACAGTGTTCATCCAAGATGTGTACTGTATCATGCTGAGTGACAATGAATATCTTAAGATTATGGAAAAAATTCCACGTTAATATCCTGAACTTTGGAGTAGTGTCAAATTACTATCCAAACTTTTGAATGTGTCACTACAACATCCAAATTTTCAAAAAGTATCAATTTAGTCCCTACGTTGTATCCAAATTTTCATTGCCAAACTTATATTGCAATTTAAATTGAGCATGAGAACAATTAGGCTATGTTTGATTTGAAGAAAAGGTAGGAAAAGGTGGAAAAAACTAAATACAGCCTTTCACAACAATCGAGAAAAAGACAATAGGAGCACACAACAAGTGGAGCCAATTCGGTAGTCTTCGAGACCAAACAAAGGTTCCCACCCCAATTACTCTTAAAAGTAGTTTCCATCAAGCACTGAACAATTTTTCTTTTTATTAAGCTCAATTTGGAAGGAGTAAAAATATAAATATGTATTGTATATATATTTGTATTCTTCTAAATTGAACCTGAAGTGTGCAAATATAAATATACAGTACAAACCCCTATATACTGTATTGATAAATCTTAAATCTGTGTAGTACATATTTATATTTGCACTCTTCCCAAACAAAAGTTAAGGTGGTAGTTCATCCTGGCTTTAACTCTGGAAAGGTAACTCATCACATTGTTGTCTTGATTCTTTGGTTTTTTCTTATTTTGATTGATTCTTCTTCCTGTTATGGTGATATTTGTATGGTTATCAAAACCATGGATATCAAACCATGAAAAGGTGATAGTTGTATGGTTATCAAAACCATGGTTTGAGCGTTTGATTCGAATTGATAGTTCAATTTGACAATAAAAATTAAAAAAAATAATAATTAAAAATAAAAAACAGCTAAAATTGTTAGGTGAATCAACGGTTCGATCGCCCAAATCAATGAATCGTTAATCGATTCAATGATTTTTGGCACTGACTGAGTTTGAGATAAAACAGAACCGAATCAACGACAGTTTGACAATCATGATCAAAACCTGTCATTTATGCAATGAATATAAATGTTGGTTATGCATGGA